GGCAGAGACCCAACAAGAAAAGAAAACTTCAGGCCAATATCCATGATGAACATAGATGCAAAAATCTTCAATAAAATATTGGCAAGCCGATTGCAACAGCAAATCAAAAAACTTTTCCATCATGATCAAGTAGGATTCATCCCAGGGATGCAAGGCTGGTTCAACATACGCAAGTCTATAAACGTAATTCACCACATAAACAGAACCAAAAACAAAAACCACATGATTATCTCAATTGACGCAGAGAAGGCATTCGACAAAATTCAACAGCCCTTTATGCTAAAAACCCTCAATAAACTCGGTATCGATGGAATGCATCTCAAAGTAATAAAAGCTATTTATGACAAACCAACAGCCAATATCATACTGAATGGGCAAAAACTGGAAGCATTCCCTTTGAAATCTGGCACTAGACAAGGATGCCCTCTTTCACCACTCCTATTCAATATAGTACTGGAAGTTCTAGCCAGAGCAATCAGGCAAGAAAAAGAAATAAAGGGTATTCAAATAGGAAAGGTGGAAGCCAAATTGTCTCTATTTGCAGACGACATGATAGTATACCTAGAAGACCCCATCACCTCAGCCTAAAAACTCCTGAAACTGATAAGCAACTTCAGCAAAGTCTCAGGATATAAAATCAATGTGCAAAAATCACAAGCATTCCTCTACACCAATAACAGACTTAAAAAGAGCCAAATCAAGAATGAACTGCCATTCACAATTGCCACAAAAACAATAAAATACCTAGGAATACAACTTACAAGGAACGTAAGGGGCCTCTTCAAGGAAAACTACAAACCACTGCTCAATGAAATAAGAGAGGGCACAAACAGATGGAGAAACATTCCATGTTCATGGTTAGGAAGAATTAATATCGTGAAAATGGCTATACTGCCCAAAGTAATTTACAGAATCAACACTATCCCCATCAAGCTACCATTGACTTTCTTCACAGAACTGGAAGAAACCACCATGAACTTCATATGGAACCAAAAGAGAGCCCACACAGCCAAGTCAATTCTAAGCAAAAAGAACACAGCGGGGGGCATCACACTACCGGATTTCAAACTATACTACAAGGCTACAGTAATCAAAACAGCATGGTACTGGTACCAAAACAGGGATATAGACCAATGGAACAAAACAGAGGCATTGGAGGCAACACAACATATCTACAACCATACAATCTTTGATAAACCTGACAAAAACAAGCAATGGGGAAAGGATTCCCTGTTTAATAAATGGTGTTGGGAAAACTGGCTAGCCATGTGCAGAAAGTAGAAACTGGACCCCTTCCTGACACCTTACACTAAAATTAACTCCAGATGGATTAAAGACTTAAACATAAGACCTGGCACCATAAAAACCTTAGAAGAAAATCTAGGCAAAACCATTCAGGACATAGGAGTAGGCAAGGACTTCATGACCAAAACACCAAAAGCATTGGCAACAAAAGCCAAAATAGACAAATGGGACCTAATGAAACTCCACAGCTTCTGCACGGTAAAAGAAACAGTCACTAGAGTGAATCAGCAACCAACAGAATGGGAAAAATTTTTGCAGTCTACCCATCTGACAAAGGGCTGATATCCAGAATTTACAAAGAACTCAAACAGATTTACAGGAAAAAAACAAACAAGCCCATTCAAAAATGGGCAAAGGATATGAACAGACACTTTACAAAAGAAGACATATATGAGGCCAACAATCATATGAAAAAATGCTCATCATCACTGGTCATCAGAAAGATGCAAATCAAAACCACATTGAGATACCATCTCACGCCAGTTAGAATGGCGATCATTAAAAAATCTGGAGACAACAGATGCTGGAGAGGATGTGGAGAAAAAGGAACACTTTTACACTGTTGGTGGGAGTGTAAATTAGTTCAATCATTGTGGAAGACGGTGTGGCGATTCCTCAAGGCCTTAGAAATAGAAATTCCATTTGACCCAGCAATCCCATTACTGGGTATACATCCAAAGGACTATAAATCGTTCTACTATAAGGACACATGCACACAAATGTTCATTGCAGCACGGTTTACAATAGCAAAGACCTGGAACCAACCCAAATGCCCATTGATGATAGACTGGATTGGGAAAATGTGGCACATATACACCATGAAATATTATGCAGCAATCAGAAATGATGAGTTCGTGTAGTTTGTAGGGACATGGATGAATCTGGAGAACATCATTCTTAGGAAACTGACACAAGAACAGAAAATCAAATACCGCATGTTCTCACTCATAGGTGGGTGATGAAAAATGAGAACACATGGACACAGGGAGGGGAATACTAAACACTGGGGTCTATTGGGGGAAAAAGGGGAGGGCCAGTGCGGGGGGAGCTGGAGAGGGATAGCCTGGGAGAAATGCCAAATGTGGGTGAAGGGGAGAAAGGAAGCAAAACACACTGCCATGTGTGTACCTATGCAACTGTCTTGCATGTTCTGCACATGTACCCCAAAACCTGAAATGCAATAAAAAATTAAAAAAAAAAAAAGAATGACTTGTAAAAAAAAGTCAGCCATTTCTAAATTCTCTTCCAAATTTGTTTATGAACATGTGTGACAAAGCTTTAATCAGATCACAAACTGTTTTGTGTTCTGCTATTTTTTTTTTTTCTAAGACAAGGTCTTATGCAGCCACCCAGGCTGGAGTGTGTGATCATAGCTCACTGCAGACTCGAAGTTCCAGGCTCAAGTGATCCTGCCACCTCAGTGCCCTGAGTAGCTGGGAGTACATGCATGCACCATCAGGCCCAGAGAATTTATTTTTTATAGAGACAAGGTCCCACCATGTTGCCCAGGCTGGTCTCAAACTCCTGGGCCCAAGCAATCCTCCCACCTCAGCCTCCAAAGTGTCAGGATTACAAGCCTGAGCCACCGTGCCCAGCCATGTGCTGCTTCTAAAGAATGACTTCATTTGTACACCTCCACATAGTGATATGGCCTATGTAGCTGCCATGGTTAATGTTTGTGTCCTTCACTGATCTCCACACCAGTCACAGAGAGAGCAGCCCAGGAGACAAATGAAGCTGTCTGGTTCTTAGGTGGGTCATACATTCTTCCTGGGGCTATCTTAGTCCATCTGTGCTGCTATAAGAGATACCATAAAGTGGGTAACTTATAAACAACAGACATTTATTTCTCACTGTTGTGGAGGCTGGGAAGTCTAAGATCAAGGCGCTGGCAGATTCAGTATTTGGGGAGGGACCGCTTTCTTTCTCATTAGATGGCATCTTCTCCCTCTGTCCTCATATAGCAGGAGAGGCAAGGAAGCTCTCTGGGGCTTCCTTTGTAAGTGCATGAATTCCATTCCTAACCTCCCAAATGCCCTACCTCCTAATACCATCACATTGGTGACTGGGTTTCAACACATGAGTTTTGGGGGGACACAAACATTCAGACCATAGCAAGGGCCATTATTATTATTACTCCAGCTCAGAATGCAGTGGAGCCATCTTGGCTCACTGCAACCGCCGCCTCCCAGGTTCAAGCCATTCTCCCACTTCAGCCTCTTAAGTAGCTGGGATAATAGGCGTGTGCTACCATGCCTGATTAACTTTTGTATTTTTTGTAGAGACAGGGTTTCACCATGTTGGCCAGAATGGTCTTGAATTCCTGACCTCAAGTGATCCACCTGCCTCGGCCTCCGAAACTGCTGGGATTACAGGCATGAGCCACCATGCCCAGCCCATGGGCCATTACTTTTCTCCATTGGAGCTGTTGGTGCCAGTTTCCATCTGTAAACCAACACCAACTGATCTGTAGCAGCTGCCTGGAACCCTGTGCGGATAAGAACTGTGAGGTCAAGTTCAGGTTCAGCAGGAGGGCACCCTGATTTAGCACGTGTCAGCAATAGTTACAACTCTCTGCAGTGCTGCTCTTAACTGTAAAGGGATAACGTTAAATGACTCCAGGGCAGTGCTAGGATCCTAATGAACATAACCTGATCGCTCCCTGTGTTTCTGAGTCAGGCAGCTCTCTCCTTTCACCAATACTGCATGTATATGGTTATGGTATATATACAAGCACATATGTTTATGGGCACAGTCATTGCGTTTTGGATTTGCACCCTAACCCAGGCATTCATTTATTTAATATTTTAACAAGGCCAAAGAGTTGAGCACCTTTATTGCATTATGGCCTAGAAATGGAATGTGTAAAATCTTTGTCCGTTTATATTTACTAAGTCTATATTTTTTTTGTTTTCAGAATATGATCGAAGATATTTCTATTTCTTTGCAAGTCTATTAGCTCAGTTTTTAAAATATTATGTTACTATTTTGGGTATACATATAGCTCAGTTATATTTGCAGTTTCATGTGCTTTTTTGTTTTTTTTTTTAAACTATTTCTGGCCTTTCCTTCTTACACTTTTCCTTCCATACCCTGTGCTCTAGATTCTATGATCTAATATCTGTTTGTCAGTTAAGACTGCTTTCAGCTCTAGAGACCAGAAAGTCTAGCAGACAAGAGTATGAACAAGCAAGGGAAGGAGATGAGGCTGAAGAGGCAGGCACGGGCCAGTGTGCAAGCTTTTATTCCATGGCAGTGAGAAGCCAATGGTAGGGTCTAAAAGGGGATGCAGGTGTATATCATGTTTTTAAGAGATCACTCTGGATGCCGAGTGGGATATGGACTGTGGGAGGGCAAGAGAGGCAGGAGGAAGAAGCCCTGGAGGCAGACTTGGGCAGCAGGCCAGCGAGTGATGAAGGTGATTGAAACTGACTATAGAAATGCAGACAGCAAGAAGAGGCTGCAATCAGGGTGCCCGCTGCAGGCCGAGCCACAGGACTTGCTGTGGGACTGCATGGCGGGTGAGAAGGGAAAAAGAGAGTCAGGGGTGAGTCCTTGTGCTGGAGTCATCTGGGTGCTCCACTCAGGGAAGAGGCTCCACACGTAGGGGTTATCAGCAGGCAGACAGGAGGACTTAGAGCTGAGAGACTCTGTGGGGTCACTCTGAGAAGAGTGCAGCTTGTATCTCTAATACATTTTTCAGCTGATATTTATATAGATAAAATTTATTTTGCATCTTCAAAATAGGCAACATTTTAAACTAAATGGTTGGCTGGAAAAGCTTCATGGTGCTTCCAAATACAAATGGTAGACCATCAGGATGTCAGTCACTGTGCAGAGCTCTGCTGGAAAAGCTTCATGGTGCTTCCAAATACAAATGGTAGACCATCAGGATGTCAGTCACTGTGCAGAGCTCTGCAATGCGGACAAAGGAGAGGTACATGCGTGATGTTTCAGTCTTGGGGCGCCGCTGCCGCACACAAAGCCACTGTCTGGTGACAGCCACATTAAATGTGAGGTGACCAAGAAGCAATGCTTTAAGCCTTTCACATCTTAACATGTTATTCGTAGCTGTTATTCATAAAACATCTAACTGCCATATTGTGATCTTGGAAATTGGTAAGGTTTTTCTGATTAACTTGCCATGCCTTATAATTCTGTATAAAATAATGAGAAACAGGTTCTTATTAGGTTTTCTTCTTGGAAAAAAATGTGACATTTCAGTCATAGATTACTTTTTTATTTGTTTGTTTGAGACAGAGTCTCACTCTGTCTCCCAGCCTGGAAGTACAGTGGCACATCTCGGCTCACTGCAATCTCTACCTCCCGGCGCACTGCAATCTCTGCCTCCCAGGTTCAAGCGACTCTTCTGCCTCAGCTTCCTGAGTAGCTGAGATTACAGGCGTGCACCACCATGTCTGGCTAATTTTTGTATTTTTAGTAGAGATGGGGTTTCTCCAGGTTGGTCAGGCTGGTCTTGAACTCCTGACCTCAGGTGATCCCCATGCCTTGGTCTCCCAAAGTGCTGAGACTACAGGCATGAGCCATGGGCACTTGGCCAGATTACTGTTTTTTGTTTTTGTTTTTTTGTGTTTGAGATGGAGTCTCACTCTTGTTGCCAGGTAGAGTGCAGCGGCACTATCTCGGCTCATTCCAACCGCTGCCTCCCGGGTTCAAGCAATTCTCCTGCCTCAGCCTCCTGAGCTGGGACTATAGGCGTACACCACCAAGCCCAGCTAATTTTCGTATTTTTAGTAGAGACAGGGTTTCACCATGTTGGCCAGGATGATCTCGATCTCTTGACCTCGTGGTCCGCCTGCCTCAGCCTCCCAAAGTGCTGGGATCACAGACATGATCCACCGAGCCCGGCCAGATTACTGATGTTTTTAATGGCAGACGACTTTCCAGCCTTGTCTTTCTTTTATTTTTATTTTTTGAGATGGTGTCTCATTATATTGCCCAGGCTGGTCTTGAAATCCTGAGCTCAAGTGATTCTCCCATCTCAGTCTCCCCAAGTTCTGGGATTACAGGCATGAGCCACTGTGACCAGCTTAGTTTTAAATTCTTATTTACCTTGTAAACAACTTAATTCCATTTCTCCACCTCACACACAAAAACTGATGCCCCAGGAAGATGTATCATCAATATTCTGCTGTATTGTATCCTGCCCGTGCAGAAATGGGGCTGTGCCTTCTCTAGTTTAAGAAGCATGTAGTAACATACTTGATTTTGCCTTTAATCAGTAACGTATGGCATACTGGGAGCCGCAGTCTCTTGTCTGTGGCAGTAAAACTAAATGGAAAAATGACTTAGGAGAATTATCACCATAACCCCCAGAAGCAACACATTATTAAAAGTGGGTCTGAAGGGCTATTAAAAAGGAAATCAACACTAGTTTCAAAGAAGGCTAAATTGTGCTTTACCTTCCCATACAAACTTCCTTAAAGTTTTGGAAAGGATCAATGCAAATTTTAGTCCTGCTGGCCTGTGTTACGGATGGCCAAGAGGTCCCCAATGGGTAACAGAGTCCTGTGAACCAAACAGTGTAAGGAGTCAGAAAAGCAGCTGGGTGTGACCCCCCCCCAAAGCAGCTTAGGCGGTTACTTAAGTGTGCAGCTACATTTCTTGACCATATAATAAAGGAACTGGGCCTTTCCATGTGATGTTTTCCTTTTATAACGGTGGCAGGAAGCGATCCCTCTGAGAGGCCTGACCGAGGTAAGCGCCAGCGCCAGGCCAGGGTCCCAGGGTCGCTTCAAGGCGGGGCCCATAGAAAGGGTTTAGCAGCTCAGAAGGATGGCGGGGACGGAGGAAAGGTGGCGTTGAAAAGGCAAGAGTCAGGTTCCCAGCGATGGATTTTTTCATTTGAGGCAGTGAATTTGCAGTTTCAGACATCCACCAGGGAGCTGCTGCATGGGTTTCTTTTTTTTTTTTTTTTTTTTTTTGAGACGGAGTTTCGCTCTTGTTACCCAGGCTGGAGTGCAATGGCGCGATCTCGGCTCACCGCAACCTCCGCCTCCTGGGTTCAAGCAATTCTCCTGCCTCAGCCTCCTGAGTAGCTGGGATTACAGGCACGCGCCACCATGCCCAGCTAATTTTTTGCATTTTTAGTAGAGACGGGGTTTCACCAAATTGACCAGGATGGTCTCGATCTCTTGACCTCGTGATCCACCCGCCTCGGCCTCCCAAAGTGCTGGGATTACAGGCTTGAGCCACCGCGCCCGGCCTGCTGCGTGGGTTTCTAAGAAGTAGAAGAACTGTTTAGAAATTCGGCGCCGACAGCCCCATTCCACCGCTACCAGCGGCGCACAGTAACAGGTAGGCGGCCGGAGGGAAAGGGCGGAGCTGGGCGGGGCGGGGCCGGGAAGGGGCGGGGCATGCCCCTACCCGCGGAGGCCGGGAGGACCAGGAACCTGGGAGAGCATGGCCACGCTGCGCCGGCTTCGGGAGGTTCCGCGGCACTTACTGGTTTGCGAGAAATCCAACTTCGGCAACCACAAGTCGCGCCACCGGCATATCATTCAGACGCACTATTATAACTACAGGGTGAGTCCGATTGTCCTCAGCTTTTCCGGCTGTGCTTGGTCCCGGCGTGCGAGAGAGATTTTGGGAGAGTGCTAGGCTTCGCGGGGCGGAGAGTGCGTGAAGGGGGCGGGGCCCTGCCAGGCATGCTGGGAGTTGTAGTTTCTTAACCTCTCCAGGCCAGTGACTTGAAGGGCTGCAGGACTACAACACCGAGGATGCGCAGGGCGTGGGGGCAGTACCCAGTCCTGTAGGGAGCTGTTGGCAGGAGTGTTCCGGCTGCTCACTTGTGTCTTCGCGCGAAACAGGGAGTGAGTCCAGGGAGGCATTGGAGGTTCCAGGCCGAGACTAGGTTGTTAGAGCGGTGTGACGACTGCGACGTGCAGCTGCGGGCAGGCACGTGCACCTCGCTTTCTCCCCATATCAGGGCGGGTCTCGCGCCTCCTCCCCACCACCGCCTCCCTCCCTGACTTCAATCCCTCTCCCACCTGTTTACCTGTAGATCTTTCCAGAGCATCCTGCCTAGGCCCGGCCCAGGAAGCGACTTGCTTTTCTAAATTGGTTGTGGAAACTAATTTGATACCCGAAAAACTTAAAGAAACCAACCTTACAATGGGGGATTAAACATTTTACACTTTAAATCGTTCGGCTTAATAACTCAGGCTTGACTGAGCAGTGTCTCAGAGATATTGAGAGATGACCTGATCTGTCAGAACAGGCTGGTGTTTGAGTCTTGGGACAGTGATGACATTTACAATGTGGCAACATTTGAAGCCTGTCCTGTTTTTAACACTTGTTTTGGGTGGCAATCTCATCACAGCTGTCAGGGATGTATACCTTAACTCTCCTGTTGCATTTTTCTGTCTCGAAAGTGGAAACACACAGGAGCACCATTGCTTGCACATAGAGTCTTAGTAATTGGATGTTCATAAATTCCTTATCTCCCCAACAGATAGTTCCTTTCATTCCAGGGTAGCACCAGGGTAAACAAATCAAGGGATATTCAATTATACTGTATTTCCTTGAAAGTAAAATAGTGCAAAGAACAGGACATAAAATATACAGCATTGCTAATTTGCAAAAGATAAAATGCAAGCAAGAGTTTTCCATTTAAAGTTTTCTGTTCAATCCCTTTCCTGTACTGTACATTTGAATGCAGAAATTAAAAACTTGAGTAGTCAGAATTCTCTTTGACTGAGATAGATAAGTTAGCGTAAGAGTTTTGTTGCCTGTATTTATATGTTCCAGTGAAACTGGTGGAGAAAGAAGAACTTTCATGATCTTATTTCATTCCTAAAAACCTGGGTGTTCATCTTCATAGAAGTAAGACATTGTTTGTATTACACATTCCGATAGGTTTCATTTCTCATTCCTGAATGTGGGATACTATCAGAGGAACTGAAAAACCTGGTCATGCAAACTGGACCCTATTACTTTGTGAAGAATTTACCTCTTCATGAATTAATTACACACGAATTCATCAGTACCTTTATAAAGAAAGGTAAGAAAAACCTGAAATGTCTATGAACAAGGCAAGATGAGGAAGTATAGGGAGACCACATCACAAAGCTAGGGCTGTTCAAGTTTTGAACAGGGCCTGTGGGATGGATAGTCTTTGTGGTCAACTGCACACATGCGCTCCCCTCCACCATTCTTATCCTGTTCTTTCTTATGCCCTCTTTAGTGGTGGTTTCTGATTGCAATTGCCCACAAGTGTTGGATGGGGATGTAACACGAGGGTATCCATCCCCTTAAAATGAAGATTAATGGGGAGAAAGACTTGCAATGTGTGTTTGATGCACTGCTGTTGATGTGGCAGCAAAGACACTATGCTGTCAGCAGTCCCACAGCAGCTGTCTCAGGGGGTGGGTCTCCAGATGCAGCCACAGCTCCTGCTCACAGAGCCAAGGTAGTGGCTGGGGTCCTGTGTCTTCTGCTTAGATTTTGTAGCCATAATCCCCCTCTGCTCACCCCATTTCTGCCCATAATCTGCTGGGTTGGACTGGTTTGTTTCAGTTGTTTCCTGGGAGCCGTTTTTTTGAAACTACTTTAGAGGATCTTTGGGGATTCCACCCATGCTACATAAGGTGACAACCTGTACAGTGGCCACAGGCTGACCTTGTGGTGGCCCCCACCTATGTCCTCTCCAGAGAAGATATGAAGAAGTCTAGTTACCAGTAGCTCCTCTCATTTTGACATTGCTGGGGCTACTTATGAGCTGGGCATCTTGTCTGGTCTCATCAGCGTTATTCCTTTCATCTATTTTGATACCACTTTGTGAATAACACGGACACTGGCTGTAGCGGGCACTGTTAAATATCTTACCGAATTTAAGCCTTGCAACAACTTTTGAAGCAGGCCTATGATCGTCACTTAACAGGTGAGGAAACTGAGGCTTGGAGAGGTTGAGTAGCTTTTGAATCTTAACCTGGAACTCTGCCTCTAAGATGTGTATGTTTATCTAGAATTCTACTTTGTATCCCTCTCCCCGCATCCCCAAGGGTCATGCTCCATTTTGAGTCAATTTTCTGCTTGATGATAGTAAACTTACACAAATAGGCCCTTGGTCGGGGAGTGGACCAGCAGGAGCTTGGTCTTTGTGTGCTTCAGCTTACCTTTAGCAGGTGTTGGGTTTATTGAGTGAGCTGGAGCAGCGGTAGAAACTGACCTTTAATTACCTGGAATACTCGTTATCTTGTGAAAACAATCCACTAACATCTTGCAGGTGTAATTTCTTCTTTTAAATTTTTCCTCTGGATTTTTTAACAGGTTCTTGCTGTGCACTAACATACAATACAAATATCGATGAAGATAATACTGTTGCCCTGCTACCAAATGGTAACACTTATTTTTTCATCTTTAATTATTAAAAAAATGCATACTGTGGAAAAAAAAATAGTTGGCCAGTCATGATGGTTCATTCCTGTAATACCTGCAGTTTAGGAGACCGAGGCAGGCTGATTACCTGAGGTCAGGAGTTCGAGACCAGCCTGGCCAACATGATGAAACCCCATCTCTACTAAAAAGACAAAAAGTTAGCTGGGCGTGGTGGTAATCCTGTAATCCCAGCTACTAGGGAGGCTGAGGCAGGAGAATCGCTTGAACCTGGGAAGCAGAGGTTGCAGTGAGCCAAAATTGCACCATTGCACTCCAGCCTGGACAACAAGAACAAAATTCCGTCTCTCTCACTCACACACACACACACACACAAATAGTCAAATCACACAGATCTATAGAGAATAAAGCAAAGGTCTGTGCTTTTATTTTCTTCCCTCCAAATTCACTCCCCTTCTTAGAAGGACCCTTTGTTAACAGTTTGGTGTTGATTCTTCCAGACACTTTGAGTTTATAAACACACATACAAGTTTTTTTCCTTTTGCAATGGAGTCTTGCTCTGTCACCAGGCTGGAGTGCAGTGGTGCGATCTTGGCTCACTGCAGCCTCCACCCCCCGGGTTCAAGCAATTCTCCTGCTTCAGCCTCCTGAGTAGCTGGGATCACAGGAGCTACTAATGTACCACCACGCTCAGCTAATTTTTCGTATAGAGAGGGTTTCACCATGTTGGCCAGGATGGTCTCGATCTCTTGACCTCATGATCTACCCACCTTGGCCTCCCAAGGTGCTGAGATTACAGACCTGTGCCACCACACCCAGCCAAGGTCTTTTTTTTAACCTAAATTGTATCATGCTACATTGTGTCTTAATGTGCTCCCCCCCCACACAAGCTTCATATGATACACATCATTCCCTATTAGTCGATATAGTTCCAACTTCCTGTTTTTAATGGCTTAAGATATTCAAGCCGGGCACGGTGGCTCACACCTGTAATCCCAGCACTTTGGGAGGCTGAAGTGGGTGGATCATTTGAGGTCAGGAGTTCGAGACCAGCCTGGCCAACATGGTGAAACCCTGCCTCTACTAAAAGTACAAAAATTAGCCAGATGTGGTGACAGGTGCCTGTAGTCTCAGCTCCTCGGGAGGCTGAGGGAGGAGAAAAGCTTGAACCCAGGAGGTGGAGGTTGCAGTGAGCTGAGATCATGCTATATGCATTCACTCTGTCACATGGGTGACAGAGTGAGACTGTCTAAAAAAAAAAAAAAAGATATTTCGAAGAATGAGTATACCATGACTTCTTTATTTCATCTTCAGTAGAAATTCGGATTATTTCTGATTTCACTATTATAAATAATATCCTTGGATGTATAATGTGTAAATAATATCTGCGTTACAAGACATGTATGTATATAAACAGTGTTCTTGTGATGTAAGTAAGATCCTTGCATGCAGTTTGTTACATTGCTATCTAACTGTTCAATTTGCCTTGGTTTCTTTTAGTCAGACAACATAAGTCGTATCTTTGTTATATCTCATGGGAGTTAATATTTGATTTATAGGGACATTAATTTTGTCATTGGATAAAGACACTTATGAAGAAACTGGACTTCAGGGTCGTCCATCTCAGTTTTCTGGCAGAAAAATTATGAAATTTAGTAAGTATCATGTGTGCTTGATCCGTTTCTAAAAAGTCCGTAATCTTCCTGAGGCAATTTCAATTTAAATGTTTGAATTGCCTCTACTCTATTTGTCCAGAAAAATGTGGCTTTTAAAAAATATCTGTCAAACTTCTGACTCGAGGTTCACACAGGATAGGATGGTGATGCTTTTAAGTCCATTTCTTATCAGCTGTAGCCTCGTTTGGTAAAGTTTGTAGACTTGGACTAGGCAATTAAATATATATGTTTTGGGTTAAAAATTCAAAGTAGCGAATCCAAGATAGGAATCTACAAGTCTACAGCTTGTTCTTAATAAGGAATTTCCTTGGTTTCCCCAAGTCTTCATGATTACTAGTAGGAAGTCACCCATGAGTGGAGAGAGATTTTACTGCCAGTGTCTGTCTCGAGAAGCAATAGTTAAGGCTGCCACATCCATAAGTAGATTAAACTTGACCTCTCAAGGTTCTCTGCCCTTGGTCTTTGACCTAGGAAATATACAAATTTAAAATGTCTGTTTTTATTAGCTCTCAAGGTAGAAGTGCCCACTAAAGGGATCTTTCTAATTTGGTAAACCAAAGGGAGTACAAGAAACAGAAAATCATTTTTACTATCTGTAAAACTTCCCAGGATTCTAATTTTTTTAAAATGTTGACTTTTTCCATAGTACAAGCTGTATGCATATGAATGAAATATATATTCCTTTTTTCATTTTTCAAGTTGTTTCCATTGATTTGATGGAATTATCTTTAAACTTGGATTCTAAGAAGTATGAAAGAATATCTTGGTCCTTCAAAGAAAAGAAGCCATTGAAATTTGATTTTCTTTTGGCTTGGCATAATGCAGGTATGAAAAATAAGTTACGTAATGATACAGTGATTTTGAAATAATTGTCAACTAAAGAGGAGTAATGGAGGATTAAATAGTGACTCTTACAGTCAAGGAATATTGTATAGGCATATATAAAATATTATTAAGGAAACAACTTTAGCCCTTCTGACATCTCTGCAAACCACAGTTCAGGATAATCTAGGCATGCAAGCCTTCTGCTCAGTCTCTTTGAATTATATGCAGATTCAGAGATCTTGAGAGTGGCTTCAGAGCAGCTAAATTTTATCTGTTTCTTCCCTTTCTTCTCTCCAGCTTACCTCAAACAGCCTTGGCTATATTTTTTTTAAAGTAGCACCAATTATAGTTATATATACAATCTGCTTATTCATTATCACACTAACTCAGACCTACCATTAAATATCAGACTAATTTGTTACAACTTTTAATTGATTGGGACACTAAATATAGTTCGAAGTTTGCTATTCACCAAGCAGCGTAATCTGCCTAAAACTTGCCTGTATGCTGTTCCTTTCAGAAATGTATCCAGATAATAGTGGATCAAGTAATCAGGGATTATGATGGGGTAGTACTCTCTTCTGGAGGATAGGAGGCATTATGGTTTGTTTAGAAATAGACCCATCTGTCTGCTCCTCGTGGAAAGTGTCTGGTCACTGGGTGCTCCAAGTCGCTTTCACGAGTCCTCAGTCTGGCCTTTGGTGCCTTCTATATATGGTAGATAGAAAAGAGGGCAGAAAGTCTTATTGAAGTTTCAAATGCATGAAGTCTTTTATGTGCATCATCTAGGCATTGGGTTCTGGATAGCTCCCTGTTCCTAAAGCTTCTAACTACAGATTTGTCAAAAACTGTAAAAGGTCTGAGATTTCCTCATACTTGCCAGCTAACAAGGTAGCCTATCACACTCTCAGGGATGCTGGCAGAAGACACACAAGCCCTGGGTTAGAGACGCAGGACTTAAGTCCTCAGAGGAATGGCAGTAGCCAGAATATATTAGTCACGGTTCTCCAGACAGAAAGGACAGGAAGGAAGGGAGAGGGAGAGGGGCAGGGGGCTGGGAGGGAGGAGAGGGAGAGGGAGAGGGAGAGGGTGGGGAGAGGGAGTTGGTTTATTGATCATGCAATTATGGAGGCTGAGAAGTCTCATGATGGGCTGTCTGCAAGTAGAAATAATGCTTTACCAGCCATCTAATGACCCTTTGTCCAGTCAGATTGACACTTAAAATTAACCATCACACTGAATATCACCATTTGTACAAGCTCACCAAGTTCCATTTGCCATAGAGTGACACCAAGTGAGGCTGGCACATGTAGTAGGTTGCATTACAGGAGAGGAACCTGGAGTTTACAGAACTCAAAGCCTTATAGGGGGCAGTAAGCCAGCTGATCTCTGCCAGGAGAGGGAGGGAGACAGTATTTCTATTACCCTGGAAAGTAAGCAAACCTGCCTTTTGCTGGGGAGGGAGTACTATCTCTCTCTTCCAAGGCCATTGGCTACACAAACATCCCTGAAAAGATAGGCTGGATTTTACTGGGTTTTCAAAGTCAGACTTGAATGAGGTTCCATCACCACTGAGTTCCTCTTCTTTTCCATTAATACAGATTGTGCAGATATGTTCCTTCTCTCTAGAGTTCACTATTCATACATCAGGAATGCTTCTGGTTTTAAGTGTGAAGTTGAAATTTTTTTATTAGCACCAACAGTGAAACTAGTTTGGATTTTATTAGAAACTATTGTGCTTTTCCAGGAAAAGTGTGAAAAAAGATGAACATTTACAGAACTTGGGCAAAAGGAGCTGAAAGCAGCTTTAAATGATATCAATTTGAAGGCAGCTCCCCACAGCTTCCATCTTACTTAATCTTGCCACTCTCAAGTGGGAATTGGTGGGTTCAGGGAGTCACTGAACTTGCTTATGATATTCAAATGGATTCAAGTGGCCTTGTGTGGTGTGTTTTTAAGGGTCAGAAGAGTCAACAATGATGTCATACTTTTCCAAGTACCAAATTCAGGAGCATCAGCCAAAAGTGGCACTGAGCACATTGAGAGATCTCCAGTGCCCAGTGCTGCAGAGCAGCGAGCTCGAGGGAACGCCGGACGTGTCCTGCCGGGCACTGGAGCTCTTCGACTGGCTCGGCGCCGTCTTCAGTAATGTCGACCTGTGGGTATCTGAACTCCCTGCATCTTCTAGGGTTCTGGCCTGCAGCTTGTTTTTAATAGGAGTTGAATACTTTGGAAGTGATCATGTGATGGATATAAATGTGTTCTCTCTCTTTTTTTTGGTGACAGAAATAATGAGTCCAATAATTTCATATCAACCTATTGCTGCCCTCAGCCAAGCACAGTGGTGGCAAAAGCTTATTTGTGTACAATCACTGGCTTCATACTTCCAGAGAAGATCTGTCTCCTGCTGGAACGTCTCTGGTGAGAACTCTGCGCTTTGTATCGCTCATCAGTGCTCTGTAGAACAGTATGTAGAATAGCACTGATTTTTTTCATTTTGGGAGGTAACATATAAATAAAATGTACATTGAAAGGAAACTCAGATCCCCTATTGCAAAGACTGTGTCCATTGAGTATAATCCTATTTAGTAAGCATGTCTCTTCAATCTCCCCTTTTAAAATGCCAGATTGAAGTCTTGAAGGTTTTCCTTTTTAAGCCCAACATCCTTTTTCACATTTATTAGTTTAGTACTTTGATTTTCTTTGATAAGAGGGCTGGATTTTAAATATCTGGTGAATTATCCTGCAATGTTTCAGTTAACTGAGACTCTGAGAACAGTACTCTTAGTAGGAGGGAAACTGTCCGTAAACCCTGGTGGGCTTTTTCGTTTTGGGTTCTTTTCATCTTAAAGACCTCCCAGAATGAGGGTGGGAAAAGCTGAGGTTTGTTTTGGGTGTTGTATATCAGTTGATCTTTTTGGAATTCACAATGTGAGATCAGGAATTCATCACATACCTTTTGATTTTTATAAGTTAAAGCTGAGATCTAAGCTTTATTAGAATATCAGAAAGACTACTTATCCTGAATAAATGTTTTAAAAATGCAGACATTCCTAACTCTTCCTAACAATTACGTGTTTTTTTCCAGTCACTACTATGATGAACCAAAATTAGCTCCGTGGGTTACATTGTCCGTTCAAGGCTTTGCAGACAGCCCTGTTTCTTGGGGAAAAAATGAACATGGTTTTCGAAAAGGAGGAGAACATTTATACAACTTTGTGATTTTTAATAATCAGGACTATTGGCTTCAGATGGCTGTTGGGGCAAATGATCACTGTCCACCCTAAAAAATAAAAAATTAAAAATCATGTGTACTTTTTAATCTTAAAAAGCATGTTTTCAGATTTCTTAGTGGTAAAAGGTCTGTGTGTTCACTCAGGCTTATGTGATGGTGGCATTTCTCAGGTCAGCATTTGCTAACAGTCTGCACTGGGCTTGGGACCCATCTGTGATGGCAGCAGGGCCTGCTGTCCAATGAATAGCTCATAATTGATTTCTCTCTGTCAACATAATCACAGGGTTGTGGGTTACTACGTGGTAGACTGGGCCAAGATGTCCAGGGACCAGGGAGTATTAGACCATTGGGTTAGATGTATTTTGTTCATTACAATTTTTTTCAAATAAGAGAAAGAAATCTCATCCTTACTAGGGCCAGTTCCTGTTGTAAGTGCTGTTTGTATATTATCATATTAGATTCTTACACCAACCCTTTGAGGAAACTGAGACAGTGTGTAAATATGCTACCGAGGTTACAGTGCTAGTGGACCTGAGACTTGATCTCAGGCCAGCCTAGTTCCTAAGTGTGTTCTCATTTTAATGCCTCTGGATCAGAGGGATCAATGGATACTGTGAATTGTTACAGAACAGGTTGAAAGAATTTTATTTCCAGCAGTAAGGCTGATAAGGACCAGTTGAAAACAACTAAAACTTTAGGATACATATGAAGAACCATTTTTTTAATGTAAAAAGTAAGAGCTGTAAAATAAGAGTTCTTAAAGGCAAAAAAAAAAAAAAAAAAAAATTTTTTTTTAAATGGAAGCAGAGACCCAAAGAAGTAAATGGAGTACTGTTGCCGCTTTTCACCCTTAGTGCATCTGCCAGATGTCAAGTTGAATGTTTCTTCTCATAGCCTGAGGTGGGAAGGGGCAATAGAACAGCACACAAAGCTCAGGGCCTACCCAAGACAGGAAAACTAAAAGACCTCATAAAGTGAGACCCCAAAAGGATAGATGTAGTGTAAGGGTGAACTAAGAGTAAATGCACCTGCTTCCATGCTCCCAACTCCTGTGAACAGCAAGGAAGATTTCTGTCTTGGGGGAGAACGTCTTACCTGAGAGCCTATATATAACCACCGGCAGTTTTTAGGGTGGTTTGTTTGCACAGCCTGGGTAGTCTTAAAAAATCTCAAGCTGGAAATTTCAAGTGATAACAGGATTTTAGTGCCCTACAGGTAATTGGCAGAGGCAAAACAGATCGTCTTTGGAGGAAGTTGGAGAGTTTCAAGGAATATAAGTTAATAGAAAAAAAATCACAAATGTAAAATTGACAGGAACCGGCAGAAACAAGGGGCAGAAGCAGACCCTGAAGTCCTAGAAAGATTTAAGATCTATGCACACACATTTAAGATTTATGCAAGCATATTCATAAAGTAGGCTTTATACTTACAGAAATAAGGGGGGTTAAATGGCATGAGTATAAAAACAATGAAGCAGATTGTGAAAAGTACCAAACAAAGGTAGGAATGAAAAATATAATTGAAATTGCAAGTTCAACTGGTTGGTTTCACAGCAGACTAGATGCCACTGAAAATAGGATAATGCATATGAAGAAATTAAGATGTTTTCAAATTTGCAAAAGCTGAAAGACTGTCACCCACAGGTCTGCACTGCAAGAAAAGTTAAAGGATGTCCTTTGGGCAGAAGGAAAATGCCTGCCTTCTGAAGGAAATAGTAGCAACATGGGTAAATGTAGGATTTATTATTTAAACCTCATTAAAAGACAGTTGTTTAAATAATAGTGTGGGATTTATAATATATGTAAAAGTAAAATGGATGACCACAATAGTTTAAAGGCTAGGAAAGGACAGTTGTGCTGTTGTAAAGTTCTTACACACAAAGGGATATGCTACCACTTGAAGACAGACTGGTAAGTTACAGATGTGTGCTACAGACCCTAAAGCAGCTGCTGCAATGACATACCAGAAATCCTAGCTATTATCAAAAGGCAAAATGGAATTATTTTAAAACCCTGATTAATCAAAAAGAAGACAAAAAGAGGTAAAAGAGAATAAAAAATAGGATGAATAGAAGACAAATAGCAAGATGAGAGACTCAACCATATCAGTAATCACATTAAATGTGAATAGTGTAAACACCCCAATTAAAAGGCATAGATCTTCAGACTGGATTGAAAAAATATGACCCAAGTTTATTCTGCCTACAAGAAAAGTACTTTAAATAGAAATATACAAATAGTTAAAGATGGAAAAAGGATAGTGCTAACACTAGTTAAATGAAAATTTGGAGTGGCTATATTAATCAAAATAGAGCAAAAACATTTCCCAGCATATCAGTCCATTCTCACACTACTATAAAGAAATACCTGAGACTGGGTAGCTTATAAAGAAAAGTTTAATTGGCTCACATTTCTGCAGGTCATGTAGGAAGCAAGATACTTGGTGCTTGTAAGATGGCATCTGCTTGGCTTCTGGGGAGGCCTCAGGAAAACATCATGGTGGAAGGTGAAAGAGAAGCATGGCCAGAACAGGAGGAAGGGATAGTGAAAACGTCAAATTCTCACAAGTATGCTGAAAACTTTATCTCCCATGTATTCCTGGTGGTGATGTGTAATTTCACAGCTATAAAATGTTTTCCAGTTTACTTATAAAAGTAAACATGAAATCACATATGATCCAGTAATTTCACTCTTGGGCATTTATCCCAGGGAAGTGAATTTGTGTTCACACAAGCACCCATTCTCAAATATTCCTAGAAGCTTCATTTGTAATGTTCAAAACCCAGGGGGGAAAAAATGTCCTTCAGTGTGTGAATGGTTAAGCAAATTGTGATCCATGAAATACAGCTTAACGATAAAAAGGAGCAAGTTATTAACACACCCAATAACTTGGTAAGATCTCAAGGGAATTATGCAGAGTAAAAAAAAGCCCAGACAAAAAAGTTACTATTGTATGATTCCATTTATGTAACGTTCTTGAAATGAAAAAAATATATAGAAATGGAGATCAGATTAGTGGTTGCCTGAGATTAGGGATGTTGGGGGTGAGGAGGGGTCGGTGTGGCTCTAACAGGGCAATAAGAAGGATCATCATGGGGATGGAACTATTCTATATCTTGACTGTGGTTGTCAGTACATGGACCTACATATGAAATAAAACTGTCCAGAACACCCACCCCTCCACCACCACACACACACACACACACACACACACACACACACACACACAGTAAAACTAAGGAAATCTGAATCAGGTCTGTGGATTGTACCAAGTCAATTTCCTAGTTTTGACAATGTGCTACAATTACATGAGATGTTACCAATGGAGTATAAAAATGTTACATGGGACCTTTCTGTATCATATCCGCCACTTCCTCTGAATCTATAATTGTTTCAATAAAAATAAAGCAAAAAATTAAAATTTAAAATACGTGCTTTTTAGAAATGCCTGTAGATAGACAAAATTATGCAAAGAAGAAACAAGGAAAAGGTAAACACAAATTTGGGGAAGAGAAAGGGGATGAGAGGAGTTCTCTTTCCCAAACTGTTGTCCTGTCTCAAACTTCCTTGTAGAATGAATGATTCCTAGGGATTTATTACAGTATTCAAATAAATAAGTGGCTATGCATGGGACCAATGATGAAACTGGGTCAAAATCAATGCTTCTGGTTCTGCCAACCCTGTGCATTGAGCCTGGAGGAAGTCTACAGGGGGTGGAAGGGAGTGGGGGTGGAAGGGAGTGGGGGTGGAGTGGATGTCTTCAGTAGAAGGAGTTAGTCCTGGATTTCCCGAGGATGAGAAGCAACTGGGGCACAGCATCAAGCAAAACAGAAAGAAGGCAGGCAGTGCTCAGAACGTGCCAAAGAAGGCCACCGCATGGACTCCCTTTTGCACCTTAGCTCAGGCCGGTCTGACCCTGAAAAAGGCAGGCAGCCAGGGGCTGGCCCTGAGGATGGCAGGGCAGGGTGCAGGGCTGGGCTCTGCGGCAGCTGGCTCTAGTGCCCTCCCTCTGCTGGGAAGGAGTTGTGGGCCAGCCTAGGAAGGAACACCTAGACTGGTTGAAGAGGTCTGTGGTGGGGCAGGATGTAGAGGGCACACGTGGTGGCTTCCAAAAACCTAGAATCAATCCCCAGGACTCTACCTCTATGTCTCCTCTATGTTCCAACCCCAGCCATTGGCCATCCTCCTGCTCTAGCCCGGCCAACCTCCTTCAGTAATGTTGATGGCAAAATTTTGTATTGTATTCTTATTTTTAGCAAAGCTACTTGTTATATGACTTGTTTAGCATCACACTACCTGCCAAATGGGTATCTCCTCTGGGCCAAGGTGCTCTCTTTGCTCATCTGTTATGGATTGAATGTCTCTGTCCCCCGAAAATTCATATGCTGAAGCCCTAATCCCAATTTGATGGTCTTAGCAGGTGGGGCCTTTGGGAGGTGGTTGGGCTTAGATGAGGTCGTGAGGGTGGAGCCCCCACGGTGGGATTAGCGTCCTCACAAGAAGAGGATGTGACCACAGCTCTCGGGTATGTGAGGATACAGCAAGGACATAGCCACAGAGAAGCCAGGAAGGGGTGGTGGTCAGTCATGCTGGTGCCCAGCTTTAGGGACTTCCAAGCCTCCAGAACTGTGAGAAATCGGTTTCTGTTGTTTAAGCTATGCAGTCTACGTTATTTGGTTGTGGCAGGCTGAGCTAAGCCCCATCTCTAGCAGTCACATTCAGAGGGAACATGATATCCCACCAGGGGTGTGACAGCCTTCCCCCTCCACTAACCACTCAGCCACAACCATCCTTACTGCCAAGAGGTTTTTTCCCCCTTTAAGACTTTTTTAGAAGCCAGGCATGGTGGCTCACCCCCGTAATCCTAGCACTTTGGGAGGCTGAGGTGAGTGGATTGTTGAGCTCAGGAGTTCAAGACCAGCCTGGACAACATGGCAAAACCCTGTTTCTACAAAAAATACACAAATTAGCTGGATGTGGTGGAGCATGCCTGTAGTCCTGGCTACTTGGGAGGCTGAGGTGAGAAGATCGCCTGAGCCTGGGAGATCGAGGCTGCAGATCACACCGCTGTACT